GCGTGAAAGTGATCGGGCAGGTGCGGGCATTGATCGTTTCTCTAAGATCCGAGGTCATGACTTGCTTCCCCGAGTTGTAGGCCTTCCGCGCATAAGCTTTGGTCTGACTTCTGGATGACGTCGATGTATCTCGGTTGGTATTAACTCGGGGAATAGGACTTGACCGTCCCGAGGTTGGAGGCGTCTGGCTGGGTCGTGGCTGGACGTCGGCTTCTCGGCCCCTCTTCCTGAGTTGGTCTCGGGGTGAACCGACGTCCGTTGGTCCGATCACAAAAATTTCCTTATCTCCCTGGGCTCGAAGCCTCTTGAAAGTCGATCCCCCTTCATCTCCTTCGTCATCATCGGGGATTTCCTGCGTTCTTCGTTTTCCTTTGTTATCTCCAGCCTTGGTGAATTTTCTCACTTGTGGATTACCGATGAGCTTCATCAGAGCCGACAACAGGCTCAAGCATTCGTCTGTATTGTGACCCGGCAACCTGTGGTAGTCGCAGTAACGGCCCTTGTCGAGTTGGCTTTCCGGGGTTTTGACTGGTCGAGCATCGGGAATGATTCCCTTTCCCTTTATTTCCTCGTAGATGGTGGCTGCTCCGACCGAGTAGATAGATTGGTATCCTTCCTTCAAGTCTTTTCGGTACTGTTTCCGAGCTGCTCGCACCTCGGGGTCGTTTGGATCCCCCCACCGCGGGTCCGTGGAGGAGGTCTTCTTGTGCGTGTTGCCAAAGGATTTCTTCTTTTTTTCCGACGTCGGTTTCTGTCCTGGGGATGCGAACGTAAAATCCGGGACCGACATTCTTTCTTCGGCAATCACGTGGTTTTGTGCCCGGACTAAGAATTCCTGGAATGTACTGGGCTTGTTTTGGCAAAGCGCCCACCTGAACATTGACTTCGGCTTCAGTCCTGAAATAGCGCTCACCAAGAGTGTTTCAGGATGGCATGGCTCCATGTTTTGCACACGCTCGTTGAAACGGGCAACGTATTCCTTCAAGCTCTCGTCGTCCTTCTGGACGATATTCGTGATCGACTCCTTTGGGAT